ATTGTAGTTTATCAAAAACCTGAAAAAGTTTCACAATTATTGCTTCACCTAGTACAATTATTATTTATACCATTGGATGGCACTTTTTATAGTCTTGACAATGATGTATCACAAGTAGGGGTTTCTAATTTAAACTTTTTTGGGTTTTGGTAAGTAAGGATATTGATGGGGAGATGTCATTTTAGTTCCTCTTTACTACCCTGGAAACGGTTTTAAGCATTTTTTGATATCAGCTTTTGTTTGTGAGATAAAGCCCTTTGTAAGTTTTAAAATTGACACACCGTATTATATATATATATATATATATATATATATATATATATATATATATATATATATATATATATATATATATATATATATATATATATATATATATATATATATATATATATATATATATATGCCCCATAAGTATATATATATATATATATATATATATATATATATATATATATATATATATATAATTGATGGATTCGACCGTTACTTGATGGAAATTCATTTTATGTAACAATAAAACACTGAAAACTTTGTTTTCAAACTTCCACAAAATTTATTTTAAATATTATCACTACAGCTGTTTCGGCTGATTGCCTTTCTCAAGTGATCTATTTTGGCTTGGGTTTACAGAGACTATAAATTTGTAAACCCAAGCCAAAATAGATCACTTGAGAAAGGCAATCAGCCGAAACAGCTGTAGTGATAATATTTAAAATAAATTTTGTGGAAGTTTGAAAACAAAGTTTTCAGTGTTTTATTGTTACATATATATATATATATATATATATATATATATATATATATATATATATATATATATATATATATATATATGTAACAATAAAACACTGAAAACTTTGTTTTCAAACTTCCACAAAATTTATTTTAAATATTATCACTACAGCTGTTTCGGCTGATTGCCTTTCTCAAGTGATCTATTTTGGCTTGGGTTTACAAATTTATAGTCTCTGTAAACCCAAGCCAAAATAGATCACTTGAGAAAGGCAATCAGCCGAAACAGCTGTAGTGATAATATTTAAAATAAATTTTGTGGAAGTTTGAAAACAAAGTTTTCAGTGTTTTATTGTTACATAAAATGAATTTCCATCAAGTAACGGTCGAATCCATCAATTATATATATATATATATATATATATATATATATATATATATATATATATATATATATATATATATATATATATATATATACTTATGGGGTAGAGGTTTGGAGATAACGCAGAAGGATAGAAAAAGAATAGAAGTAGTAGAAATGGATTTTCTAAGGAGAGCGTGTGGTATATCCAAAAAAGAATCAGGAATGAAGATATTAGAAGGAGGACAAATACTGTATATTCCAGTGTAGATAGAATTGAAACGAGACAACAGTAGTTCCTCCTACTACCTCTTTCTGTTCGTGAGATGTGACTGAATTCAAACCTGCGAAGACGACTGTTTTTTGTCAAACATGTCGTCTTATTTTTTACTTTTTAAACTTTGTAACATGTTCTTTAATTTTTAAGTTATTTTAAAGTTTTAAGTTTCAATGCCTTCAGTAATTCAGATCATATTATGTTATTTAACGTTGTGTTTTATATGCTATGAATCTTACTTTCTGGTAAGTTTTTATATCTTTTATATTACATCAGCCTAATTTTATAACACAGTAATTTTCATTGTAGACCTTGATAAAGGTGGCAAACAACCACCGAAAGCTCGGATTTCAGAATAAATAGTACGCCTTAGCAAAGCTCTATTTTTTATTGACTACCACACCCAAAAAGAAAAAAGTATTTACATATATATATATATATATATATATATATATAGAGGGTGAGTCATGAGGAACTTTACATACTTCTACCATATGTTGAGTCCCTCAGGGAGCATATCATGTAGCCACTAAAAAATGTCAACTCCTCTTCTTTATTAATTAACAGGGTGATTTGTGTAATTGACTATTTATTTCATTTTACTGTATTGTTTATACGGCTCATTTGATTTTTTAAATTTTTGCATGATACAGTACACTACTATCAAGCATTAGACTGGTATTAGTTAAACTAAAAAATTCCAGGACTGACTTTGGAAAAATTAATTTAGGGATTCGTATTAAATATTACACCCTGTATATATATTTTTTAAAATGCAATAAGTCATTTTCAAACTACATAAATAGCCAATGAAAACGATATATGCGACAATGTTGTCGCACTTTTATTAAATTTTTAGTGAACGATCAAATCTTACCAAAAATAGAACAACCATAATGAAGTTTTAATTAAAATGAGTTTCTTCAACATAATCTAATACGTAGAAAATTAACATCTTTACTGTCACTTTGTATTATCTCTACGATAGAATCAATTGTTTTTCAATTTTAAATTTTTACTCATAGATCTTATTGGGGCATTATTTTCGATAAATAATAAATTAAATTGATTAAAAAGTCAAACCTCTTGTATGTGTTAGTTTTCGTTGATTGTAAATGATTAAAATTTTATGTCAAATAATAATACATTGCATCAACTGTACTAAATAAAAATAAATCTAAAAAAGTTTTAAATGAAGGTTGGCGTTGACCGTTTGACCATTTGGTTTCTTGATATTTTATACCCATTGTAATTATTATCATTATCAATTGTTATTTATGTGTATAAGAATACATATTTCTTCTGTCATATCTACGTTAAGTACTGTTCTGAAGCTCTTTTGTGGCATTGTAAATTAATTACTATTTATAACTGGGAATAAGCTACAATTGTGGCTTATTCCCAGTTATAAATAGTAATTACGTTAAGTACATTGTGTTAGTTTTAGTAGAGCTCTTGTTACTTTCGTTCAAAATGCGACATCAGTTTTCGACCACAGAATATGCAGACATAATATTTGTTTATGGATTCTGTAATGGGAATGGTAGGGCTGCTAGTAGAGAATATCGCAGGAGATTTCCTAATCGTCGAACTCCCAGTCATTCATCATTTGGGTAAGTTTTTAATTATTTGCGAGAAAATGGCACTTTTCCTGGTGGAACACCAGAGCGACATGTAGATGAAGCGCAGCAAGATGACATTATGGACGCCGTTACTATGAACCCTACAATAAGCACTAGACAAGTAAGTCGAGAACTCAATCAAAAGTAAGTAGAGTCTTACAAAAAAATAATCTATACCCATGTCATATTCAAATGGTTCAGCGACTACATGCTGGAGATGAGATCGATAGGTTGGAATTTTGTAGAAGGATTAACATTAATCGACCAACGCTATATAGGACACTATTTAGAGATGAAGCCCAATTTACCAGAGACGGGATAAATAATTCACGAAATTCACATGTGGGCAGAAGAAAATCCCCATGCTATTCGAGAACGTCGTTCTCAGTTAAGGTTTTCGGTTAACGTGTGGATTGGTGTCATAAATAACCAATTAGTAGGTCCTCACTTTTTTAATGGTCCTTTAACAGGGTAGGTCTATTTGAACTTTCTACAAAATATTTTGCCGAATTTGCTTGCCAACGCGAACGTTGCTATCCGAGGGATGTATTTTCAGCATGATCGGGAACCCCCACACTTTTTACTGGCAGTGAGACAACATCTCAATAATGTTTATGGCAAGAGGTGAATAGGACGTGCAGGGCAGTAGCCTTCAAGACACCCTGATTTCAATCCCGTTGATTACCATATTTGGGGACGATTGAAGCAACTAGTTTACGCAGTGAATATTAATAACCGACAACAATTAATCGATAGAATTATACATTGTTGTAATACTATTAAAAACGATCCCCAGAGTATCCGTAATTCAATACGTCAATTAACAATTCGGCAACAAAAATGTGTTCAGGCTGCAGGGTTCCATTTTGAAAATCTATTTTGAATTATTTTTATTTTGTTACCATTATTGTATCTTTTCCAGTTCTAATTTATGGGTTTATCATAACTATGTACATATTTTTAGTTTTTTTTTTAAATTGTTCTTCGTTATTATTAGTAGTTACAGTTTTTTATTGTGCAGTGACTCAGTTTATCATTTCAATTAAAATGTTTGAAATTTATAACATTTGTTTAAATTAATTACTTCATAATTTGATACTTCATTATGGTTGATCTATTTTTAGTAAGATTTGATCGTTCACTAAAAATTTAATAAAAGTGCGACAACATTGTCTCATATGTCGTTTTCATTGACTATTTATGTAGTTTAAAAAAGTGTATTATTTAATACGAATCCCTAAATTAATTTTTCCAAAGCCAGTCCTCGAATTTTTTAGTTTAGCTAATACCAGTCGAATGCTTGATACTCGTGTACTGTATCATGTAAAAATTTAAAAAATCAAATGAGCCGTATAAACACTACAGTAAAATGAAATAAATGGTCAATTACACAAATCACCCTGTTAAATAATAAAGAAGAGGAGTTGACATTTTTTAGTGGCCACATGATATGCTCCCTGAGGGACTCTACATATATGGTAGAAGTATTAAAGTTAATATAGAAATATATATATATATATATATATATATATATATATATATATATATATATATATATATATGTTTGTATGTAAATATATTATATACATTATTTGTATTATTTAGTTATTAAAAAAATGAACAAGGTGAATCCCAATCTCCAATAGTTAGTTCACTTCTACATTATTATGTCACAATTTTTTATTGGCATTTTTTAGTATATTATCGTCATACACTATTCCAAATACAGTTCAATACAAGCCAATGCACTTTTGTTTTTATTTAATGTTTGAGGTCGATTATATTTAAGAATTGCTTGTTCGCTTTATTTATTATTACGTTACCATCTGGAAATGGTAATTCACTGCGTAAAGATAAAAAGTAAATCCCCTTTGTCATTTGATGTATATGTGAGAACAGGGTATATAATGTAAGAAAATTGTCGATAAACGTATCAGTCTTCAAGACAAGCATCTAAGACAACCAAAATTTTAAAAAGTATTCTCGTATTAATATAAATACAATGAAGTGTGCACTTTTTGCCATTTTCATTTTCGCTATTGTTGTTAGTATTAATTCTTCTCCAATTGGTGATGAACAACCAGAACCTGTGAGACCAGATGTATTTATCCCAGAGGATTATAATCCAGAAATTCCAGAACACAAAGGTATATATTTTGGACAATTAAAATATACATTTTTTCTTTGTTGTTATATGTACCATTATAGGTGCATATATTAACTTATTCTACATCTAAACTCTCTGAAACTAGTATGTCATCTCAATATTCTAATTTTTTCTAATATTCTCTTTTTACTTTAATTTTATTTATCTTCAGTGTTTTAGCTTTAAATGAAACAATTTTTAACTTCCATTTTTATCTTTATCGGGTCTCTTTTCTTTTTGTCCTTGGCATTCATATATTAGACATGCAGATAAATTATTTCTTTGCCAAATATATTCTTTAGAATAAAATAATATATGTCCTTATCCATGCTTACTATCACTTTTGTAAATACGTTTTTTTTCTTCTTAGCGTGCCCCATCGCTAAGGACGTTGGCGATCCTCATGGCCCATTTGACTTTACCTGCAGCCGCTCTGAACAGTTCTATTGACGTTTTTTTTTGTAAATAGACAGAAAGAATTCTGTCTCCGGCTTCTATATAAAATGTAGCTTCTCCAATTTTAAATTTTAGTGTTTGTTTGTCTTTGTTTAGTGTATTTGTTATGTCCCAATTTACATTTATGACATTCTGTTACTGCTGGATAGGCCACAACTGACGAAATGCCCCTGAAGATGATCTTGTGATCGAAAGTACTTGGGCAAGATTTGATTAAATACTGTGTTCGATATTTGCCTTGTGTACCATTAAAGTTTATTCTTTTAATGTCATCAGTCCATCTCATCTGTGGTCTTCCTCTTGGTAATTACTTTCCTAAGACCTTACGAAATGTTCTCGCTTACCAACATGATTTTTGTTTTATTTGGTAATACGATCAACCAAAATCTGTAGTCCTTCTCTGCTGTCTTCAAGGTCTATTGTGTCATCTGCGTATCTAAGATAATTCAGAAGTGCTTCGTTAATAAATATGCCTTCATTTACGTCCTTTAACGCATCTTTAAACAGTTCTTCTGAATACATACTAAAAAGTAAAGGAGAAAGCACACATCCTTCTCTTACTCCACGATTTCTTTCGATTTTTGTTGGTCTATTCGTATTATGGCTTTTTTATATTGGTATATATTGGCAATGATTCTCACTTTTTCTTCATCTTATTCTGTGAGATGCAGTATTTTTGCCATTTTTTGGTGTTGTACTTTGTCTAAACCTTTTTCGAAGCCGACTAGGCATATGAATACGTCGCAATTGATATCTCGACATCGTTCGATTAGTGTTTGTACAGTAAATAATGCTTCTCTGGTGCCAAAGCCTTTTCTAAATCCCAATTAGTTTTCAGATATTCTATCATCTAGCTTTTTATAGATACGTTCGTGTGTCACTCGTAAGAACACTTTTAGAATATGGTTCATCAAGCTAATTGTCCTGTGCTCTTCACGCTTCATTGCTTTTGGTTTTTTGGGTATTGGAATAAATATTGATATTAACCATTCTTTCGGAATCTCTCTGATATAATAAATGTAATTAAAATAATTCTATTTGTGTGCCCATACTATTTTTTGTTAATATTCTTAAGATTTCTGTAGGTATTTTATCTGATCCCATCTGGCCTTCATTTTTATACCTATTTGCGCTTCTTCAAATTCGTCTTTGGCGATTGGTGGTCCATTTCTTCCTCTTGGTTCAATGACCAATTTTCTCATCATTTTAGACCAGCTATTTTATGTACTCTTTCCATTTATTTATTTTATCTGTACATTTAGTAATTCTCTTATTATTTTTATCCATGATATTTCCGATACCCTTCTTGTATATGCCAGCTGTCTCTTTGATTTTCTGGTTTGTGTAAAAACTGTCATGCTGTTTATCTAACATTTCTATTTCTTCACACTTTTCTGATAGCCACAGCTCCTTAGCTTTTTAGATTTTCTGTTTGATTTTTTCATTAATTTTTTTGTACTGTTGTTCGTTTTTATTCTTGTGTACCCTTTTTTCCATCATCAGTTCTTTTATGTCTTTTATGATGCACTGTTTATTTTTAGATGATGTGTCTTCTAAAAGTTTTTGTTTTGTGCTATTTCTCAAGATCTAATCTACTATGCTTCATTTATCTGTTGCTGCAAATTGCTTTTACCTTCCTACTTCCTAAACTTCTTTGTGCACTTGTTCTTTGATTTGTTGGTATATAGCAGTTTTTTTTAGTTTTCTCAGATTGATTCTCGGTGTTTTGACAGTTTTTTTTAACTTTTTTAATTTGAGTTTCATTTTTGTTAGAACAAGATTATGGTCACTGGTTATATCTGCTCCTGGGTACGCTTTAGCTCATATTATGGTATTTTGTAATCTTTGATTTATTATTGTGTAATCTATTTGGTTTCTTACTATAATTTCACCATCATCTACAGGTGCTTTCCAGCAATATATTCTTCGATTTGGGAGTTTATACCACGTGTTTTTGATAATGAGTGCGTTAGTTTTGGAAAACTGAACTAGTCTTTCACCTCTTTCATTACGTGTTCCCAGTCCGTGTTTACCTATTACTTCTACATCTCTTCATTTCCCTACCTTCGAGTTGAAGTCACCTTAAATTAAATTTACTTCTTCTTTTTTAGTTTCAATTAATGTTTTATTTAAGTCATTGTAAAAGCTGTTTACGTTTCTCATCTATATAATATTCTTCTTCTTCGTCAAATGCAAAATCCACTAATGGATGTTAGCGATCACATCTTCCATTAATTCTCTATTTCTTGAAATATGTATCAGAGATTGTATGTCGTTAATCCCTGTCCATTGCCTTATGTTTCGGAGCCAGGACATTTTCTTGTGTCCCATTGCTCTCTTGCCTTCAATTTTACCCTCGATTATAAGTTGGAGGAACTGGTATTTTTCATTTTGCTTGATGTGACCTAGATACGCCGTTTTCCTTTTCTTGATGATTTCGAAGAGTTGGCGTTCTTGGTTTATTCTTTTAAGGATATCTATATTTGTGATTTTCGCTGTCCATGGTATTTTTAGGATACGGCGATAGAGCCACATTTCGAAAGCTCCTAATCTATTTATATCCCTCGTTTTGAGTGTCCAGCCCTCTACGCCATATAGCAGCACTGACCACACGTAGCACTTAGTAAACCTTAGGCTCAGTTGAAGATCGAACTCTGAACAAGTCAGTACCTTCTTGAATTTTACGAAAGCTTGTCGAGCTTGCTCAATGCGACATGTTACTTCCCTGTCCGATGCCCAGTCTTCAAAAAACCGCTATCCCAGGTATTTAAATTTACTCACTCTTTCTATGGGCTTAGTATTCAGTATTATGGTGGAGTTTTCAAGTGCATCCAAGAGTCTGCACTGATCTAAATTTGATCATATATAATATTATTATGAGCTAAAATTTTCTGTGATTGTATGTTGATATTTTTACCTACTTTATTTCGGCAAATTGTTGTTTATTAATTCCATTCAATTTGTGGTATTAGTAAGAAAGCGTACGTCATACGTGTCTTCCGTCATGATGAAAGTATTGTAGTTCATTACAATTATGTTTGTCTATTTTTCCTTGTAATACTCTTTTTACTGAGCAAATTGCAAATTTCTTTTGTTATTTGTACTCATGTTTTTTATTTAAGTACACATTTTTGTCTTCCTAATTATTAGTAACATTGCTAACTCATGTTTTTGAAAATTTTTTATTTTAATGATTATCTAATTCAATATAATGCATTTAGATTTGATTTTAATTAAATTTTTATTGTATTCTTGTGGTCTTTTGTTCTCAACACATCGTTTTTTTTTTCTGGTAAAATCTTTCATATAATTTAGTTGGCGTCTATTGCAGAGGAAATAATTATTCTCTCTTTATATCACGTTTACTTTTTCTTTTTAGTACAACATAAAGGATCTTTATACATTGTGCGTTTATTTTTAGAGGAACACTACAGAGTCAAAAGATTTACCTGCGACGTACTCAGCGTGGAAGCAAAAGGTGTCAAGTTAAATGATGCTGCATGCGCGATTCATTGCCTCACTCTTGGTAAAGCCGGAGGATGGTGCGACAACCACAAAGTGTGCAACTGCAGAAAATAAACCAAAGTTTTTATAAAAAAATGTAATTTTTCTATGAATATACGGATTAATTTATCGAGCAACTTTTTTTTATTGTTTCATTAATTCTTTGATCATTCGTAAAATGATAAAACAGCTCTGTGCGATTCTTCACTATTATTCCTTAAAATTTGTTAAAAAACACGGAAATAGTTGTAAAAAAAGTTCCAAACACAACTGACACTACTATAACTGATGTAATTAAATCTTTTTCTATAAGCAAATCATCACGTTATTGACTAAAACGTTGTATTCCATCAGTTTCTATCTTTGGTCATACCAATATTAACCACCGCATTCAAAGTAGTTTTATAAAATGTTCCTTTTAGTTTCATTGAACTCCTTTTGTCACAAACATCACTTAGGTTCTTTCACTTCACCCATCAGGGCCATACTCTGCACGCATATCTATTATATTTCGAGGAACTTTATCAAATGTTTTTTCAGGGTCAATGAATAACATTTAAACTTTTGCTTTCTTATGACCTTATCTACGATTCTATCCATTTTGCAATTTTCATTTTGGGATGAAAATTAAATCTGTTTTTCCTTAGCCATATGCCAATTTAAACTGATTTTTAGATTTTGCTGATATTTCAGTTTTTTTATATATTTGTCAATAAAGAACACACTTTTATATGTACGTGACGTTACTAAGTAATTTTGTGGCCCCCATATAGATCAAAGTAACTTTACAAGTTTTTCTATTTCAAATATAGTGTCACAACTGCCGTCTAAAAACCAATCTTCTTTAACCAACATTAACCTAGACCTAAAGATTACTCCCATTTGGATAATACAAGTAACTCCAACGCATCTTATGCAAGCACTGTCTCCCAAAATATCTAAACAATGATCAAGCAATTATTTTCAGCTACCTTCATGGTACAAGACTTCAGGATTATCTACTTCAATTGGGACCTCTGGTAAAACAAAAAAATTTTATGTTTCAGAATTTGACACAACACATTATTTATTTATCTCACAAATAAATCATTAGTTTAGACAGTGGTCGAATTGTTGCATAAAATAAAATCATTAAAGGTAGTCGTCTAATTTCACCAGCTCATAGACTGTATGGAAGCAACCCAGTTGCTTCCATACAGTCCTCGTAGACACACCGTCTCAGGACTAGGAACTTCAACGTGGAGTCATATGTCGCCATGTTACCTCGGTAACTTTAACATCTTAACGTATTATAAGAAATCCTGTAAACCAAATGTAACTTATTATTTGTTAACTGATTTTTATCCATATATTTAGTGGCTACATTCATGTACTCCTAGACACTGATGATCGAATATGGATTCCGAACACGTTTTGTCTAATTTGCCCGTTTGGGTTTTAAATATATACCTTTTACAAAGGTTTTTAATAATTTTTTTTATTGGGATGTTAGTGTATAGTAATATACACTAACATCCTATTGCAAAAATTTCAATCATCTGTAGAGTTAACGTTAAACTCAACATACTTTTTATATAAGGAAGAAATATACCAACAAATGGATGGATGTGCAATGGGTGCAAGTATTTCTAGTGTCATTGCCCAACTGGTTCTGGAAAACTTAGATGAATCTGTCATGAGTCATTTAGATTTTAATTACCATTCTTCTACCGCTATATCGATGACTGTATCTGTGCTACTCCAACAAATAAAACAACCGAAATTTTAGATATTTTCAACAGTTACCATCCAAAATTAAATTTCACTATAGAAATTGAACAAAATAATAAAATTAACTTTCTGGATATCACCTTACATCGTATTAACACCAGGTGGTTTACAAAAGAATCATGGTCTTCACGATATCTTAACTACAATTCCCATCATCCATTTTCCCATAAGAAGTCTGTAATTATAAGTCTTGCTGATAAAACTATAAAACTATCAGATCCAGAATACAGACCAACTGCAACAAAAAAAGCAAAAAATGCCCTTCTAAAGAATGCATATCCCGAACATCTAATCGAAACTATTTTCAAATCAAGACTCAGTAAATTTTATAACAATACAACTAACAACAAACGCAACAGTATCAAAACGACTTATACAACTCTTCCATATATAAAAGGTTTATTAGAACAACTAACAAATCTTTTAGCCAAACATAATATAACAGTGGCCCACAAAGGCATCAACCTCTTAAATAAATATTGCACAAAACTAAAAACACAAACTCCAAAACTTAAAAAACATGTTGTTTACTAGATACCATGTACTAACTGTGAAGGTGTCTATGTATATCGGTCAAACCAGTCAACTGCTTCAATCCAGAATTCGTTCTCACAAATATGACAAAAACAACGTCACTAAGCTCACAAAATATGAAAGCGGGAAAAAGCATAAATTTTATTTTGAAAACGTCAAAATTTTAAAAAAAGAAAAAAACAAAAAGAAGAGGGATATATACGAATCAATAGAAATAAAAAGAAACACCAACGCAATAAATGACAAAAAAGATACACAAAACCTCAATAAAATATATTTCAATCTGATTTAAACAATAATAATATAACATCATAAAAAGCCCTTAAAGTCATAACATATCTCCACCTTACCTTTTTCGAAAACATCAACGACACGCTCATATAAAAATAATTATATACTAATGACAGTAAACAATGAGATATCAGAAGTAAACAACTTTTATTTGTCAGTTCGTTAATGTCTGTGTCACGTTTTACGTTTTGGTATTTTACTTCTGACAAATTTTACAATATCTGTTTGTCCTTATACATATACATTTTTTTTTAGAATATTGACAAAGGCAAGGGTTTTCTGCCGAAACGTTGATTGATTCCTATGGAAAATAAAATCTAGTTCCACATGTAATATATCTTTATTTAACCTAAACCCAAGAAACTTTAAATACATACATATATATATATATATATATATATATATATATATATATATATATATATATATATATATATATATAAATATATATATATATATATATATATATATATATATATATATATATATATATATAAATATATATATATATATAATATATATATATATATATATATATATATATATATACAGTGTGTCCACTTAAGTTCGCACCATATGGGAAACTTTCTTAATATTAGTTTTACGAAAAAAAGTTATTCTTCATAAAAAGTTCTGCATGGTGTAAAAACTAAAATACAACCATCAGATATTAAAATTTTTAGTCGTATACGAGGTATGTTCAAAAATATGAATTTTACCAAGAGCAAAGTACCTCAATTTTTTATAATTTCGAAAATTGTTATCAAGAAAATTTATTTAGAAGTCTACAACATGTTCAAATATATAGCCATGTATACAAAATGTTTAAAATGGAGATTTTCTACATTTTGCTATTGCATGTCTACCCTACAACAGTAATAAATGCATAAGTACATTTTTAATCAAGTTGCCATGATATTTACATATCTGACATTAAACGTAAAATACATATTTGACAGTTACAATACATTCTAATTAAAGATGCCGGTGGTATTGAATTTAGAAGAAAAAATAGAAATTGTGCTAATTGTGGGTGATAATTATAAAACGTATCGGGAAGCAGCTGAAATATTTAATAACAGACATCCAGGAAGAAATATACAACATACAACAGTTATGAGACTTATGGTAAAATTCAAAGTATACGGAGATGTTAAAAATAAATTCAGCAACAAACGTAAAAAACGTGTTGCAAATGAGGCGACGAAATTAGATGTAATGTTATCTACAGTGCAAGATCCTAAATATTCTCTACGAAAGAGGGCATTGTTGTTGCAAAATGCAGGTAAAAGTACAATTGCAAAAATTTTGAAGGAAAATCAGTTTAAACGATATAAGCCTAAATTTATTCATACATTGAAACCTAGAGACTACGATAAGAGAATAGAATTTTGTTTTCTTATTCAAGAAAAAATTGAAGACGATCCTTTTTTTGTTAGAAAAATAATGTTTTCAGACGAAGCTACATTTAATTCAAATGGAACGGTGAGTTCTCAAAATTGTCGATGGTTGAGTGACAACAATCCTAACTTCACAATTAGGACTCGTGATCAATATTCATTTAAAACAAATGTTTGGTGTGGCATTTACAAAGATAAAATAATTGGGCCATTTTTTTTTCGACAATCCATGACCTCTCAGAATTATCTAAATTTCTTACAAACTCACGTGTGTGATTTTATTGATGACCTATCACTACATGAACGGCAACAAATATGGTACCAGCAGGACGGCGCTACATGTCATAGTACATTGAAAGTAAGGCAGTATCTGGATCATTTGTTTAACGGAAGAGTAATCCACAGATATTCAGAGACTTTTTGGCCAGCTAGGTCGCCAGATTTAACCCCGTTAGATTATTTCTTTTGGGGTTACTTGAAAGAGAATGTATACAAACAAGGGCCGTTTACAAACGTCCAACATTTGGAAAGGGTGATTACGGAAACCATTCAGACTATAACTCCCAACATGATTCGAAATGTGTTAAGAGAATTTTGTCGTAGAACGGAAACTTGTATTGAAAGAGAAGGTGGGTACGTTGAGGCAATGGCGGTTTGATCTAAGAAAATCTATTACTTAATATTTTTTGCAAATATTTTTAACAACTTCTTTTTATAATTGCTATTCATATTAGATTGTAAAATAAATAACGTTGTTATGTGTACGAATTATTTTAAAACATCAACAAAATGCTGCAACAGTGAAGTTGGGAAACTAAAAGGTTATCAAATTTTTGATAACAAATGAGTTAAATGTTTGTTAGATATGTTTACAATTTTAAATAAATTTTCTTGATAACAATTTTCGAAATTATAAAAAATTGAGGTACTTTGCTCTTGGTAAAATTCATATTTTTGAACATACCTCGTATACGACTGAAAAATTTTAATATCTGATGGTTGTATTTTAGTTTTTACACCATGCAGAACTTTTTATGAAGAATAACTTTTTTTCGTAAAACTAATAATAAGAAAGTTTCC